TTTTTAGTTCGCGTCAATAATATTATATGCGTTCGGTAAAAAATGATAATAATAAAAAAGATATATATATATATATATATATAGTATATATTTCTTCCATTCTTTTCATATCTATCAAATTTATTTTAACGATCGATTTTCCTATAATTAATAAGAAAAAAAAAAAAAAAATAATAAAAAAATAGAAAAAAAAGGGAGAGACAGTTAACATCATTGAAAGATATTTTCCCTTTTATTTTTCTGTTTTTTTTTTTTGGTCTTGCTCTCTTGAATTCCAACTTGAGAATCCTTTGAAAAGAAGAAGAGCCGAGAGCTGTTAAACGAAATTCTTCCGATTCGTTTGCCGTCGCTCGCAGCTCGCCTTAATCGAGCGGCTTTATTCGACGATAATTCGTCGTGGCTATAGAAACGCCTTAATCACGAGAAAGAGAAAGAGAAAGGGATGAGTAAGGAACTCGAAAAAACTATAGAATATTGAGAGAAAGGGTGAGATAAAAAAAAAAAAAAAAGAGAAAAATGAAAAGATTGGTCACCAGTAGTAAGACCATTTTACGAATATATTTTATTTTTCATTTAGCACTTTTTTCTTCATTCTTTTTAACCCTTCTCATAATTTATCGTCCTTCCAAAACATTTTTGAGATATTTCGTTATCGATTACATTGTGTGACTTAACAAATTTTTCAGCTTAATATAAAAAACTAATTTACTTTCATTAAAGAAAAGAAGAAAAAAAAAAATGAAATAAAAGTGTTTTTTTTTGTCTCTGTTAAAAAATCTACTAAGACAATTTTTTTTCTTTGTTATAAATAATTCTTTTATGTAAAACTCGTTAAATATGTAATACATCCAATAAGAGTTTTAAAAAAAACCACCACACTCTCTCTCTCTCTCTCTCTTTCTCTTTCTTTCAGTTTCTTTCAATGTATACATTTTTTTTTACGATCTGTTATATTATTACGTGATAAAAATAAAAATTTAGACAGTTAAGTATATTGCTAACTGTAAATGGAGATAACGTTTAATGACTCTGTAAACTTTTTAACCGCGAACTCGTTAAAATATCTCTGTAATTTTATGAAAGTGGAATTAAAACGCGACACGAACGCAGTTACCACGATTATTATTATGGTTATATATAACGAATAAAGTAAAAATATCCGATATAATTTAAATCTTTTTAAAATGACGCGTGTAAAAAAAAAAAAAAAACAATAGAAAATTAAATATATTACATTACCAAAAAAAAGAAAAAAAAAATTATTTGCACCGTTCGCACGCGAATAAATAAATCTTTCATGAGAAACGATGTACCATATTTTATTCTTACGATTAACCTTCTACCGATAGTAAAAGGATACGAAAAATATAATGGTCTTCCCTATTCGAAAAAGATACACGAAAAGCAGGTGCGCTTGGAAGAAAAGAAGAAAAAAAAAAAATAACAAGAAGAAGAAAAAGAAAAGAAAGAAAACGTTACACGAAAGCACGTTCCACTTTAATTTGCCGGTACTTCAACTCGCACGTGGGACAAATAGTTCACGTCTAGTTTTCTGTGAAAAGTAGTTTACCGCGTGAAACGCAGAAGACTTATCGATAGTTACGATGTTGTAAACTGCTTTTCAATCGAATTACTCAGATATTTTGTAAGGAGAGAGGGATGGTGTCTCTTGTAAAGGAAAAAGAAAAGTAATATAAATCAAGGTATCTGTTTTTTTTTTTTTTATTTTGTAGTTTGCACATATACTAAATAGAAATAGTTAATTAACCGTGTATTAACTGAAAACATAGTATTCTCTTTTTCAATTCAATTAAAATCTATGCTACGAGCTTGGTGTCCATTGTTTTTTCATTTTTTTTTTTTTTTTTTTATATAAAGGATCTATCATAAATTCATTTTAGCTGGTCGGAGTAATACAACAACTACAACAGAGTTATGGTCGATTATAAAATTAGCTGCATATATGTGTGGCATATATAGATATGCATGTATATATATATATATATATATATATATACAACTGAAAATGGTATTCGCAGATTCCCATATTACAGGCTCTGACAAATGGCTACCACTGCGTATAAAACTTGTACGGTTTGAATTCGCATTGTGGATGGGTACCACGTGTTCTGTAGTAGTCAATGGTCGTTTATATTCGATATTTTTTTTATAATTATCAAGATAATGTATTTTAAATTTAAATATAATACGTAATTAAATTACAGGTAAGTGTGTTCGTTCGAAGAAAATTATCTACAATTTTCGTAATTCGTTTTCTCTTTGTCCTCTAATAAAAAAGAAAAAAAAAAGAGAAAAAAAAGAAAATGAAAAATTAAATGTTTCTTTCGCGTTGGAAGTTTCTTTTTCAAAAAAAAAAAAAAAAAAAAAAAGCAATTAAATACGAACTAAGAAGTAAATACAAAATAAAAGTAAAGATCTTTTAGTTGTTGGTCCGCCTGTTCGAACGTCAACGTGTAAAAGTTAAAAAAGAAAATTCGATTCGTTAGAAGAAAAGTTTTCGCTAACATCGTCGTCGTTTATTCAAGAGAACAGGAGAGAGAAAGAGATAAAGAAAAAAACAAGAATAAAATATACAGAAAAGCTTCGTAGTTGAAATCGTAAGACTTCGAACGGTCAACGATTCCTTCCTTCGACGTGCTCCATATTCGCCTAACTAACTT